AGATAATAACTAAATTTCGAGTCCATACGAGTGTCGATCCATTGCAACACATAATACATAACTACAGACAAAAGCAACAAAAAAAAGTAATATTCACTTCGTAGGTATGCCCTCAGGGCTAGACATTTGTACAATTGAAGTGAAAAGTTATTATTACTTTTTTTGGGTAACTTTTTGTGAGCTAACAATCGCATCGCAATTATTGTCGACACAAACAAAGCGGCAAAAAACAGTCAATTAATTGATTAGACGCTAAATAAAGAGATTTTACTTTTTTTGTGATGTATTTGAATAAAAAACTTATTTGAATGAAGTTTATTACGGCAGACAATTGTGTGCTAAATATGTTTTGACACACAATAACGATTAGCCGATCGTCACAGACGTTATTAACAGTCAAAATAGAAATTGCATTCAAAATGTAATTAATTTTAAAGCCGTTTATGAAAGCCTTTGACTGATTGGTAGCGACGAGACTATAGTTATATAATAACTTATATTTAATATCAAAGGGTTTCCTATTTAGCAATCGTTTAATGCATTAACTGTTTGTGTGGATAGCAATCGATTCATAAAAACTTTTTTTCATTTTTCTTATCACTTCATAAGTCCTCTCAAATGATAACTTCTTTTATATCGACATAAATATCCTTTTTGTGTTAAAAATATAATAACTTTTATATACTTTTATTTCTCAATCAATTCAATACTCCATTCATAGACTAATGGCTTGTATGCCATTGACTGGCAAGTGGTTAGGGGTTTGACTGACGGGTGGATATAAATTGTGATCCTTTTGTTGCAAATTTTGTGGCAAATTTGAGCCCATTTTTCACACATTTTTTCTCTCAAAAACTCCTTTTTCAACACAAAAATTGATTCATTAATATAACACAAAAATGCAAAAACCATTTCCCTCTTAATGTGTGAAAAGTGTTTTTAAAATGTATTGTAAATAAGAAATTTCTCTCAAAAATCTTGTTTCCTATAATGAAAACATTATACAATTTTCTCATTCACTGCCCTTTTTTATATGAATTATTATATTAATATAACTTTATACTCTGTGTGTATATATTTATATATAACATATAACTTTTTAAATGTATTAATCTCTCCGCAAATTATACACTCAAACGACTTTTTAATTAGAAATTATAATATATTTCTTATAATTATAGCGAAATATATACATAAAATGTTATTTATTAAGCATTTGAATCACGAATTTGTATTAACGGTCACACGAGAGTCTAAATAGCCTGGCTATAAATTATACATTTTGTGATCAAAATACTCTCATCTATGCTATGATGAGAGAAATGGGATATAAATTCAGTGCAAAGAAAAAACTTTTTTAATTCACTTTTTTATGTAGTCGTCCGACAAGTTTTCGCAAAAAACTCTTTGCATTTCGCGATACGAACGGAAAAATCTGATCAAAATATTTTTAGATTGAATTTCAATGTTTTTTATATACAAAAAACTTTTTTGTTGTTATTTTTTTCGATACAAAACGTCTCTCTCTCTCTCTCTCTCTCTCTCTCTGATCGATAAAAAATAAAGAGATGATTGTTTCGTATCTCAAAGTTTTTGATGCCATTTCACTCGACGCCCATTCAAATTATACTCTCTCTTACGCGAGAGAGAGAGAGAGAGAGAGAGAGAGAGAGAGAGAGACGAAGATATTTGCTTTTATTTAAATTATTATTACATTTTAAATACAGTTTACGGATATATAAAGTTTCAAATCGTTGTGTACAGTATATCTGTCTCATGAAAATGATTTGCAGCTCAGGTTAAGGCTCTCTCTCTCTCTCTCTCTCTCTCTCTCTCTCATCATTTCTGACTGTTTTTGTGGGCAATAAATCAAATAAAAAAATTAGCGTAAAACAACAAAAATTAATATATAACTTTATGGAATTCAGTAATAAATTTCAATTCTCAATACGATTTCGCTTATGAATCACAAAACACTTATGGTTTTGAAAATTAAGTATTAAATTCACGAATTAGTCGATAGTTAGCCCTTTGAATGGTAAAAGTCTTAACAATTTTTATGAATCGCCTTTTTACTGCACATACCTTTCCAGCGAAATACCTGTCCGTAAACTGATTATACAATTTATGTTTAATGGCCCGCCGTTTGCGATCGCGATTTGACTCTCAATAAGTGATCATCACTTCAATCCTAACGTAATATATTAGAAAGAAATCACATTTTTATTACGAAAAATTTCATTTTCAAAACACACAATGAAATTAAATCCACACTAAAAATGTTTAATGGCTTTCGAGTTGCCATTTATAATCTTTTTATTAGTAATTGCTTTCGGATTTCGGTCTGAATTTTAAATCTCTCGACAAATGATTAATAATTTCAAGATTTTTCAGTCATTTTTTTAGAGTAAAAGAAAGTTTAGAAAAACCCAAAAAATCTCAACATTTTATACGATTTTGATTTAATTAAACTTTCAAAATGTGTGCTTTAATTATTTAGATTATCATTTGATTAAAATCTTTGCCACAAAAAAACTGGTCATTAATTTTGGTGCCATTTATTGGTAAACAAGTCAATCAAACATTTAAGCAAAAAATTGTTTGCAAAGAATTTTTGTATTTAAATTTAAATTAATGTTTGATGTGTTTGTTTGAAAAGTTTTTTATTAAGTAAATGAAAGTCTCTCTCTCTCTCTCTCTGACTTTCATTTACTTTTACGAGAGACTACCGAAACGATTAACAAAATTCTTGTTTCGTTTATTTTAATTTAATTTATGATACGTTAAGCGAGTGAACCGATTGAACAGATGATTAGCTCCAGAATATTCCTCCTGAATGTGCAGTTCGCCAATCAGTTGATCATTAAATCAATTTGCAAATCGACAATAATTATGGCTCAGACACACGCACATCCACTCGATGTGGGCTCCGGTATGTGTGTGCGACCGACCAAACGCGTAGACACAGCCTAAGCGGGGTTGGAGTTAGCGATAGGATTGCCATTCAGTCCTGTATTTCAAGCCTCCAGTGACTGGTAGTCATTGACTAACTGTGAGAGTACTAACTCGTGAGTTGGGGTACGTTTACCTTTGCTCTCAGGCACTGGTAGATAGTGAGAGGGTATGCGAGAGAGTAAGAGAGAGAATGGAGAGAGTATGGGAGAGTGAGTGAGTGAGTGAGAGAGAGAGCGAGAGAGAGAGAGAGAGAGAGAGACGTCGAGTATATGAGAGAGAGTTGTCTATAATTTAGGCGAAATGTGTACAGAAGTGGCGCACAATTTCTCGTGTCCTTAAGGCGAAAGACATTTAGATATTAAATACCAGTGCCATAGCCGGTGCCTACCATTCCCTTCGCGTTATATGTAATTCCCAGATGTGTTTGCAAATCGTAAAGCAACGAGAAATTAAAGACAAAAATTTTTTTCCATCACTGAAACGAAATTACTTTTTCCATAACTACTTGTATATAATATCTAATTATTATTATCGCGTATTATATAATAAAAGTGATGCGAAAATCAATAAAAATATTAATGTCTTTGAGAAACGACTTCTGGAGAGAGAGAGAGAGAGAGAGAGAGATCTCGCTTAACGTATCATAAATTAAATTAAAATAAACGAAACAAGAATTTTGTTAATCGTTTCGGTAGTCTCTCGTAAAAGTAAATGAAAGTCAGAGAGAGAGAGAGAGAGAGAGAGAGAGAGACGTCGAGTATATGAGAGAGAGTTGTCTATAATTTAGGCGAAATGTGTACACAAGTGGCGCACAATTTCTCGTGTCCTTAAGGCGAAAGACATTTAGATATTAAATACCAGTGCCATAGCCGGTGCCTACTATTCCCTTCGCGTTATATGTAATTCCCAGATGTGTTTGCAAATCGTAAAGCAACGAGAAATTAAAGACAAAATTTTTTCCATCACTGAAACGAAATTACTTTTTCCATAACTACTTGTATATAATATCTAATTATTATTATCGCGTATTATATAATAAAAGTGATGCGAAAATCAATAAAAATATTAATGTCTTTAAGAAACTACTTCTGGAGAGAGAGAGAGAGAGAGAGCTCTAAGAGATGAACAAAACTTTATAGTAAAATATATATGATTTCAATGTCTGGATGCGTGAGAATAAACACATAAAACATTAAAACACATTAAAAAACTTTTTTGGTTCATAATTATGAACTCGTTGTACAATCTCATAGTCACTACACAGTAGACAATCGTTTCCACATAAAAAACTACAATTCAAACCAAAATTTTTATTTTTCAAAACTCAACTCACAATTCAATTTCACAAAACACTTTGTCCGCCGAAGACCTCACGTTCAGCCCTCAAATACTACCCATTATTATAGACAACGATTGTTGTCTTATACCATATATTTTGATGGCTTTTGTGAGACAATTGTCACTCACTTTTGGTACCGAAAAAACAAGTATTTTATACCCAAAGTCAAGAGCACTAAGTCATGCGATCATTACGATGTCATAAAACTGTGTTTTTATTATTTTTTGTGCTCTTATTTTCGCTTACCATCCCTTTCCACTACAATCTTATATGAATTATTATGGTATGTCTCTCATGTGTACCACAGGAACTCATATGGCAAAGGGTTACCCACCGTTTTCTGGTCCCATTTATAGCCTAAAACATGTCATTTATTCGCGCAGTTTATGTGCGAAAAAACACAAATTCCCGTAGATTTTGATGGCATCCCTCAAAACGGATATAAATTACTATCAAAAAAGTCATAAAAACGCTACAATTCCTGTGTATAGACCCCGACACAGATGTCAACCACTGAATCACCTGTTGGTTCATAGAATACGAGAGAGAGAGAGAGAGAGCAGAAAATTCAAAATCACACGAAATAATGGTTATATTAAACCGAAAAGCAATTTCAAAACACATTACACTAATCATAATGTTGTGGAAAATATCATATTTATTATACAGTATATAAAAATGACTTTTAATTCGCAATTAGTTTAATGGCAGCGAAAAAAATAGTATATATTTTATGAGTTTTTAATAAAGTTTTAACCGAAAAAATAATAAAATTTAATAAATAGTCGTAAAAAATTGATTTCATTAAAAAAAACAAAACACAAAACACGAGATAATAATCTACTCCTAACACTAAAACACGGCTACGATGCGAGGTGTCGGAGCTCTTTTGATGTATACCTATCTCTGCAGCCAATGTGAACCAAATCTCGATTAGTGAACCGTACGAATACACTACACAAATAAAGCCAAAAATGAAAATTTAATTTTACTTTTGTTTTCAATGCAAAAAATATCAAAAATCATCTAAAACTACAATCAACACTCGCTATCGCATCACAATAACAGCTGTATTACTATCGATAACATCTCTACTTCGCTATCAAGCGAAACAACACTACAGACAAAGTATAGGCACTAATAGCGCAGTCGTTATAATCGCACGGAATCTACTCCGCGGTTACTGTCGATGGGGACATACCTTAAGCCGATCCTCTTATGGCACACCCGACACGAGTCGTGTTCGTCGACCACCAGCTTATTCTGTTGCAAACGGATCCGTTGCTGCTGTACCTGCAGGTGCTGTGCCAGCAATAGGTTGCGGAAGATCTGCTTCGAGTGGCGTTCCATCAGCAGGTGATTAGTGGTCGACTGCAGAAACTCCTCGATCGCCAGCACCGGTACGCTCGCCGGCAGCAGCTTCACGACACTCAAGGCATTGATTTTAGTCGAGTGTTTGGTCAACAACTGGATCGCCGACTGGATATTGGCCTCCAGTTTGCTGAGCGATGGGTTCGCCGCCACTTTCGACGGCATCAGCGGTGGCACCGATAGATACAGATCTAAGAGTGTGAGGAATACCTGTGCGCCCACCAGATATATAACATACCGGTGCGAGAATTGAATTAAAATAGTTGCGAAGAAAATTACATGTATTTTAAAAACACATGAAAGTAATGCAAAGGAAACACAACAACAAAAAAGTTTGTATTTATAATCAGTTCTCGCAATGAAAATGATGCCCAAAAACTCTCGGTTCGTTGTCATCAATCATTGCATTTGATTACAAATCGATTAATCAAAACATATTTAGTGTAAGAGATTTCGCTCAGCGATTGGGAAATGGATTTAACAGAGAAAAAAATACAGAGATTTTTATCGACACAAAATTGAATGCAATTTTCAATTCCTATTTATGTATAAAACCAAAAGTAAACCCAAAAAAAGTTGAGTTCAAACAACAAGAGACAAAAAACTATTTGCGAAAACTTTTTTAATGCATAAATAAATCTGTTTTCAAATGACTATAAATTTCTTAAAACAAAAACCGTTTTCAAAAGGCATCGGAAAAAGTGCACATAAAGTCCGGTTCCCCTAACACTACACGAGACATCCCGAGCCGTGAATATATTACTCTGTATTTGCATATTATGTGTAATAAATAAGCGAATTGTCTCCTAAACTATACATTCAATTAATTGACAACAAAAATACCAAAACCCGAGTTTATATATTTAAGGCTCTGTGAGCCATAGATTAGATAAAAAGGGGTTTTGCATAAGATTTGAATGCCATTGAAATGCAAACCATATATTAATTATAAGGCAAATGAGGCGCGAGTATTGGAAACAAGATTTACGATCGCAATAGCGATGGGCACCGGGAGTTCAACTTTCCTTCCGCAATACTATATCAACAGCACAGGTGTACTGTTGTATATACAGGTATGAGTGTGTGAGCCCTACTGTTTGCCTCATCTCTCTCTCTCTCTCTCTCTCTCTCTCTCTCTGATCGCCGACTGGATATTGGCCTCCAGTTTGCTGAGCGATGGGTTCGCCGCCACTTTCGACGGCATCAGCGGTGGCACCGATAGATACAGATCTAAGAGTGTGAGGAATACCTGTGCGCCCACCAGACATATAACATACCGGTGCGAGAATTGAATTAAAATAGTTGCGAAGAAAATTACATGTATTTTAAAAACACATGAAAGTAATGCAAAGGAAACACAACAACAAAAAAGTTTGTATTTATAATCAGTTTTCTCGCAATGAAAATGATGCCCAAAACTCCCGGTTCGTTGTCATCAATCATTGCATTTGATTACAAATCGATTAATCAAAACATATTTAGTGTAAGAGATTTCGCTCAGCGATTGGGAAATGGATTTAACAGAGAAAAAAAATACAGAGATTTTTATCGACACAAAATTGAATGCAATTTTCAATTCCTATTTATGCGTAAAACCAAAAGCAAACCCAAAAAAGTTGAGTTCAAACAACAAGAGACAAAAAAACTATTTTCCGAAAACTTTTTTAATGCATAAATAAATCTGTTTTCAAATGACTATAAATTTCTTAAAACAAAAACCGTTTTCAAAAGGCATCGGAAAAGTGCACATAAAGTCCGGTTCCCCCAACACTACACGAGACATCCCGGGCCGTGAATATATTACTCTGTATTTGCATATTATGTGTAATAAATAAGCGAATTGTCTCCTAAACTATACATTCAATTAATTGACAATAAAAATACCAAAACCCGAGATTATATAAAACTCTGTGAGCCGTAGATTAGATAAAAAGGGGGTTTGCATAGGATTTGAATGCCATTGAAATTAATTATAAGGCAAATGAGGCGCGAGTATTGGAAACAAGATTTACGATCGCAATAGCGATGGGCACCGGGAGTTCAACTTTCCTTCCGCAATACTATATCAACAGCACAGGTGTACTGTGTATATGCAGGTATGAGTGTGTGAGCCCTACTGTTTGCCTCATCTCTCTCTCTCTCTCTCTCTCTCTCTCTCTCTCCACATAATAAGAGTGAAAAAAATTGAAAATTTAATTTATATTCAAATATTTAAAGCAAAGGGAAAACTAACAAAAAACTGATTTCCAAAATATATATAGCAACAAAAAACTAAAAAAAGTTTTCAAAATATTTGCATATTTTGTTCATATATTTATGCAAATTATAAGCAATTTCTGCATACGATTAATGGGATTAACGGCCAATCGATGAGTAATTTCGGAGCAAATTATTCATAAGATTTGACAACTTTTATCGATTTTCGCATAAATTCTCATTAATATTGCAGTGATTGAGGCATAAGTTAAGGCTATGTATTAAGTGCTGAGAGAGACTGTGAGAGAGCTATTAATAATTATTAGAGAACTTTTAGGGAGAGAGAGAGAGAGAGAGAGAGAGAGAGAGAGAGACTATAATATAAAACAAAGGCTCCGAAAACTCACGTCTTTATTGGCGTCCAACCCCTTGTCGTACATCCGCTGACAGTACTGTTCGGCGCGTTGCGTGTCGTGAAGCATATGGACGTATATGACGAGCGCCTCCTTATGGTTACCAATCTTTCCCATAACGACAGCCCTCTCCTCAAACAACCCGTCATTCAACAGATACGTCGGCAGCGTTTCGGTCGAGTAGTGGTCGGACTCATCCAAAAACGTCAACAGTTTGCGCCTCAGGTCACCCAACTCTCCCGGCTCCTCACCGGCGCCTACACTCTCGTCGCCCTCAGCGCAGGTACTCTTATAGTCGGTCAACAGTATCCTCACGCGTTCCCTATACTTGTGAATCAGGGTGTTGTGAAAGGCCGGTGTGGTGTCGTTCCACACGTGTATCACGTGCTCCAAGTAGGGGATCAGTAGATCGCCATTTGTCTGCTGCAGGAACAGCATCACCTCATGTCGGGGCAGTAGCTCCGTGTCGGACGCCATGTCATCGGTGAATATCTTGACGCCCTCCTCCGGGTGCTGCTTCAACACCCACCCACTGTACTCGAATATGAGCTCCAGGTGCTCGGCGCCCATGTGCTGCAAGTACTGCACCGTTCGCTTATACCCGGCCAGCGGCGAGTCCTGTTTGCGGCTCTGTTTGTACAGCAGATCCAACGCATTCTTATGCAGACCCTTGTTCTGGTAGAGGATAATCAGCTCATTATACTTGTGGTGCTTCTTGAGGGCCTTCTCCACCTCCTCCAAGTGGCACCGGTTGTCCGGCAGCCGTAGCAACGGGGCTACCAGTGCGTCGTTGGTCTGCAGGTAGCACTTCAAGAGCGTGGTGTCGATGATACTCTTGAGCTGATACTTGGCTTTGGCTGAGGCGTTGCCATCGACGACGGCACTGTTATCACTACTACCGGCGCTACCGGTAGATGAGGTAATGGCGCTGTTGTGGACCGACTTATCGTTGGCCAGATTTCGACGCACTTCCAGCAGATAGTCGATGAGACAGAACAGTCCCGTCTCGAGGTCGTGGCCCACGAGCGCCGGCGGTTTCGACGGGTACTCGAGTTTGTTGCGGAAGTCGTCGGGCAGGAGGTCCGGGAACAGACCGATCACTTGCGACGGGTCGGTACCCAACTTGAGGAACAGTAGGAGCGCCTCCTTGTACTGCTTCTTACAGAACAAGTCAAATGCGTGCATATTCTTGATCTTAGCCATCATTTGCTCCTTTTTGGTGATACCGGCGCCGCCCGCGGGGGCCAACCCCTCGTCGCCACCGATCACCTCATACTCCGAGCTGTCGGTCCACATGTCGGCCACCTGTAGGGCCAACTCGAAGTGGTGTTCAGCCATCAGTTTGTAGATCTGCTGTTCGGGCGGCACTCGTATCATACAAAATACGTCATTGGCTGACGCGAGGAGGAGGTGCCCCCTCTTGTTGGCGCACTTGACGATCAGTTTTATGCGATTTGTGGTCAACTTGTCCGACAAGTCCTCCCTCTGAATGTCCACTTTGGGCTCCACTGTCAACAGTTCCACGACATTGTTGGGCAATACGGCCACCAAATAGGGCGAGTCGTCCACCAGACTGAGGGGTGTGTCCGACCACGTGATCGGGTAGTTGAGTACCGGCGAGCCCTCGGCGTTCATGATATACGTCTTGCCGTCCCTTCCGAGCGCCAGTCGGTTGCCCTCCAACAGCACCACCGATGGCTCCGGTTTGTCACCCGTCGGGAACAGCTCTTTGGGCTCTCCGGTCACCACTTTGATGAGCGAGTAGTCCGACCGGAAGCCTACGCACAGGGACTGCGAGCACCAGGCGATCGTTTTCGGCAGATCCGGCACTTTTAGGTCGGCCGACAACTCGTGAAAGTCGTTATTCTTCCAGTAGAAGAGCTGTAAGTGATATTTGACGACAACACACATCCGGAGAGTGCACTGGTGTTCACCCGTAAGGGTTCGCTGCCGTTGGACGTCCAGCACGAATAGGGAGGCGCCCCTCGTTTTGGTCACACACGTGATCAGTGGGAACGTCATCTGATCCAAGTTGTGGACACTGACCACGTTGTCCGATAGGGACACAAGTATGCGGAGGTCGGGAACCGCTTCGATCTGAACGATGGGCTTCTTAGCGAACGCCTTGTTTGAGCGCAACAAATGGATCTCTGGTTTGATTTCTGGGGTTATGATCGTTACCACCGATGAGATAATTTTGTACCAATTGGTTGTAGTCATCGAGAGTCGTGTAAATCGATTGTATGGACACGTGAAGAGGTTTTTGAGTGCATTTGTGGGATAATTAGATACAGAGATTAGTGTGGATCTAATGGCGGACACTGAACTCTTCAGCGCACTTACCATTCATTTGGTTGTATTTGATCTCGAGTTTATACATGAGTAGGTGACCCTGCTTAGTGCCAATGATTATGTAGTCGTCTATGGGTTTATAAATAGGTTTATTAAATACAAAATGCAATTAAAATTGATTTTATAATTAAATTTATTAATTCACTCACCGAAAGCGCATATGCACTCAATGACCAGGGGCAAATTCTTCATGATCGGGATCGTTTTGTATATTTCCATTGCTTAGCGTGTATTTGGCGATTAAATAACGGATTAAAAGCTAATTATAATCGCAATTAAATGTGACATTCATTTGCCATTTGTTTTCATTTAGGCTTTTGTTTACAATAATAAACACCCAATGAGTTTGTGTGTGTGCTTTTAGTGGACGTATATGTTGTAAATGTTTTGGGACTATTTAATACTGAACAATTTTCATACACATATACAATTGTATGTAATAAAAGGTACCACTACTACGGATTCAAATAGACTTGTCTTTTAGTTTGTATACTGTGATGTAATAAACATATGATTAGATACGAGGTTTCGATAACACAAGAAATCATATGAATTTCGGGAATAATATAAATATTCCTTATATTCCCACCGTATATCCAATACAAGAATCATGAACTCCGGGAATAAATCCCAAACAAAAAACATAACACAACGCTGTTTACCATTCAATGCCGTTTTGAATGAAAACAAATCCAAAACAAAACACTTTTAAATCAAACGAAAAAACTTAAAACTAATTATCATATCATACGACACCGACTCTTATGGTACGCCAACTGATCCCAACCCCTCAGCTCTACCACCAACTGATCCGCAACTCATCGCCAACTCGTCGCTAACCCACAGATAATATCACCGAAAGTCATGCTTTCACTACACATCCGATTCTTAAGACACACGCCGTATATCATCCATAACTGCGCCCACAAGTCATCACCGATTGTCACCAACACGTGCCGTCCATTATCATCGCCACCACCGCCGACACCATCACCGCGTGACTCATCGAAAGTGCAACAAATCAAGAGTCATATCCTGAACAAGAAGTCCATCGCAAACCCCAACAACACAGTGATCGACGCCAACGTCTTGACGGCCGATCACCAGAAGCCGGTCCTCCTGTACGCCAACGAACGGTGCGGACACTACCGACTCATGTGTGCCCTCAACGCCTGTCAACTCGTCTTCTGGATCTTCTTCGCGAACTTCGGAATCTCTCTAATCATCCGAAAGCCGAAGACTATGACCACAGATGAGATGCGCCGACAGCTCGAGGCCGACGGCCAGTCACTCGTCGGCAAAGCGCGGCTCTTATGGAGGGATAACTCGACTCATTATTTAGAATTAGTTTATTGTTAAATAATATTATACTTAATTAATAGGTAGAATGTATAAAAATTTTAAATTATAAATATATTAATTAATTATAGCAACGAATTTTAGATGTAATTTATTTTAATTAACTAATCAACCTAATTAGTTACAGCAAATTATAGCGAATAGAGATATTTTTAAATTTTTACTAAATTACAAATCTATATTTAGTATTTGAAACATAAAATATTGGGGTAAATGTAAAACCGTTTAGCCGTTTAAAGTTTTCCTAAACTTCATTTTAATTGAATAATGATTGATATAAATATTAAAAATATTTATTGGTTACTATTCCGTGAAAATGAAATAAATAGTTGTAATTTTTGATGAAATATTGATTTTTATTTGATTTACTTCTTTATCAGTATTTTATGGAAGAGTGGACTTTAAAAATATATACAAGAAATTGAATTATTGTGGAGATCAACACAAAATACATTAGTATAACACACTTGAAATTGTTTGCCCTTTACTATAGAGAAACGATTAAATTATGTTTCGAGTCTTAAAAAATAAAATTATATTTTATGAATTGCTTTCGTAATTGAATTTCAGTTATAAATGTACTGTAATTGTAAAAAGTTTTAAAACAGTTTTGAATATCTTATCATAAATAACAATTTCTAACAATCAGTTTACATAAAAAGTGCACAAATAGTCAACAAATGGCAAGTATTTGAATGATTTGATTAATATCGAGGCAAATCTCTCTGCTTTAAATGGCTTTTATAATAGATCGAGATAACAATAAAAGTGAAAATAGAAAATATTATCTTTACATAAAAATCTGCTGCAAATACATTAATATTATAACAGGATTTGGAGAAATGCTTGAAACTGTGATCTTAAGACTCAAATCACCGAAAGAGTACTTTCTTGTAAGACTCAGTCACTCAACAAATAAAAGGCAATAAATTTTGTAAATCCTATGTAATGCCTCTCTTTAGATAAATCCGTTAATTAATGTTAAATAATGTCTATATATTAATGAAATTAATTACCTATTCTTATAATTGGAGGCAATGTCTGAACATATCCGATGAACTGATGGAGAATGAGTTGAGTTATCAGATGAAACACGTTTACCACGACAAACATTACTCAAACTTATCGCTTGAAATCAATTATTAAGGATTAGTTTATCAATTAATAAGTAGTTTGGGTCACTCATGAAAGGTAGTCAGTGGTGACAAACAGTCTGTTTGTTTGAGTGTCCAATACATAGAGCCAGTTGTGGTGAACGATAGCCTGCGGTCGGACTACGCGAAAGTGCTTCTCATATATGTGTTGAACAACTCGTATAGCAATGAGAGTGTCGTGTAGTTTGTGTAGCGAATTTCAAGAAACCTCAAACTTATTGCAACTTTCAAATCATGTCTTGTGTTCAATAGTCATGTAATTCGATGCGAATCACAGCTCACAATGCAATGCGAGCAGTGAGTGCACAGCCTATCAGCCTATGCTCTCAGCACTGGCTGTTTGGTCGTATGGATGTTGCAAATGCGAGACTCAAACCCTAAATCTCTTGTACTTTATTCTTGAGCCGTAACCCATAGCAACTCATTCCTTGCTATGCACTCTCCATACACTCCTCATCATCAGTGGTGTCATCCCTGCCCTCATCGCCATAAAGTTTGACCTCAAATGAATCAAAACCATAACAAAAACTGATATATTAATACATCTATAAATAAAAATAAGA